CATTTGGTAATTAATATGCTGTTAAGCTTTGGTTGTAAAACTGCTAAAAGTCTTATAATGTATATTTTTTTTCCACACAGGACGCATTTCAACTGCACCAAATCTAACACTTAGTAGTAATATATATATTCTTGATCTAAAAAATAATATATGGGTCACTGCACTGAATTTAAATAAGCCTACCGCTTCGCCTACTGCATCAATATCAGGGAATCCAACAGGTCTAACACAAGAAACGTCACCTCAATTACCTGGACTATTTATTGAAATAGGAATTGGTTTGGGTGGGCTTATATTAGTCGGATTATTAGTCTTTATTGGATTTAAGATATATAGAAGACCACAAAAGTATGTTCAAACATCAGACACTGCTATATAATCATTATAATTTAATTTTATTAAAATATGAATTCAAGAATACATTATTTTCTTTAATTTCAGGACTATTGAAGCCTAACTCTGGATAATATTTAATTTAATAGATCTTTTTAAAAATATTACATAATATATATATAATATAATTAATTTTTTTTTAATGTTTAAGGTGAGACCTGTACATATAATTAATATCATACTATCTATATATTTGTTGTTTAAAAAAGAAGCTGCGTAATTAGCATATAAAGAAGATGACAAGGCTATAATGTTTTCCCATTACCACAGTAAATAGGCTCGATTAAAGTTGTGCTCCCTAAATTTACCTTTCTATGTTTTTATGCTTCTGTTTATGTTTGCTTCTGCAGTATTTTATTCCGTTTTACTAAAAAATTACTAAAAAGGGGTCGTCTAAAGCGGCGAAGAATCACGTGATTGCTGGCCAATCAAATTAAAGAATTTTGATGATCGCTAACGAAGCAAAACAAGAAAAACCTGAAAAATACAGTCTAGGATATTACGCGATATGGAAATGATCTGCAAATATATTAGAAGAGTCTTCTAAAATCGATTTTTAATTGAAAAAACAAAAGTATTTTTTATTTTCTGAAAATAACTATCAGTTTTAAAAAAATTTCAAAATTTTTTTACAAAAAGTTTTCTAAACTATGTAGTTTAGGAATCTGTGTAGATCCCAGAGGCTTTATAAGGCTGTTATGTAGTAAATAACAAAGTGTAACAATGTAGTCAATAATTTGGCCAAAATTTGTACTACAGAATTGCAAATCTTTACTAAAAAGCGAAATGATTTGTGTTACACAATTTTGAAAAATCCCTGACTGAAATACAAAAAATAGCAGTCTAAACCTACCTCAGGTATATTAAGCAAAAATGACAGGAAGGCAATTTTGCATATGTATAAACAAAAAAAAAATTCTAATTTAACTTTAATTTAAAAACTTTACCCAAAAGTTAATTCAATAAAATATATATTATCAGTGTTTTGGGCAAAACTATTTTCCAAATCTGAAACATTTCACCTAAAGGAATTTAATTTTCGCTCTATAAATCCGATATCCTCCAAAACTAGTTTCACCTAATTTGATCTGCAAATGATCTGCAAAATTAGGTTTTGCCTGAAACACTATATATTATAAGAATCTACTCTGCTTTAGATGTTCCTCTAAAATTGACACAATAGAAAAGTATTTAGAATCAGTGAAAACTACTAATATTTTTTACTTTTTTTTAACAATATTCAACATAGTTGTTCAAGAGTAGTGATGAGTTCAGCTGACTACAGTTGGCTATTGGCTAGCTATTATAGTGATTAGACCCCTTTAACCTGGATAACACATCAGACTGATCCGGATAAACTCACGGGTATTCTCATAGTAAAACATTTGTCTGATTGGTTAAATTTGATAGATCTACCTGTAATTGCCTGTGATAATTAACCAATCAAAATACATAATTTTATTAATACTACAATAACTAGAAAAAAAACAAACCTTCAAATAAAGAAGCTTATAAACCAATAAATATACACAAAAGTATTAATTACTTATATTTGGAAAATAGATAGATATGTGTAAAGTAGGCAAATATAATTTTTATTACTAATAATCCAAACTTATTAAAGAATCTATATACAATATATAAACTACAACTTATTAATATAAGGTTGACAAGCCCAAATGTATTACAAGAACCAACCAAATTTAAATATTAAACCCAGATCTCTACTACTAAGAGCTTGTACTTATTCAAATTAAATAAAAGTTTATCAGTTTTGTATACCAATTTCAGATATCTAACCAATCAAATTTGGACATTTTAGCAATCAAATTCAGACATTCGAGCAATCAAATTCAGACATTCTAGCAATCAAATTCAGATATTTTAGCAATCAAATTTGGATAGCAATATCTTGTGATCTAGTAATCTAAATTACTTGATCTTTTCAGCATTAGATTCATCATGCCAAGACAAGTCAAATAGTATCAAGATTACATAATTTGGATCACTAGATCATGAGATATTGCTATCTGAATTTGATTGCTAAGATATCTGAATTTGATTGCTAGAATGTTCGAATTTGATTGCTAGAATATCTGAATTTGATTGTTAAAATGTCTGAATTTGATTGGTCAGATGTCTGAAATTGGTATACAAAACCAATATCTAAATCTTTAGATGAAAATGTTGCCAGTTAACTTCACTTTATAATATGGTCTAATAAATAGTAAGTATACTTTGTCTTCTAAGTAAAGTTCTTAGGGTTACTAATTATTTTTAATTATTTTTGTATAGTGAATATAAATGTTTTTTTGAAGTAAAAAATGGCTTTTGTAATGATTTTTTATTGGTAAAATATTATGTTCTTAAAAAATACTTTAAAGTGTATAAATAAGTTATCTAGACAATTGATTTACATTAGCTAATCAAACAAATGTCTGACTATGACAGGTATTTCTAGCCAATTACTAATGTTTGTTTATATTAGATAAAATAGAATGTGTCAATTCTATTTTACTCAATATAAACAAATATTTGTAATTGGCTAGGAATATCTGTCAATTTACTCAGATTAGCCCACTAAGTTATTATTGGCTAGTCATTCTTAGCTGGCTAGCTATAGTTAAATAGCTAGTTATAACCTAATTAATATCTTAATAAATGACAAAATAATTATATATTAGTATTTAATTTAGCATAAAACAATATTGGCTAAGTTTAAATTATATAATAAATAGAATAATTTATCAGTTATAATTTTGGTTAAATTTGCAAATTATTTTGCCAAATTTAGAATAAAACAATTTTAAATCTGGTTAAATAATCTGCAAATTCACAAATTATTGCATAATAGTAAATACTTAATATTTTTTAAAAAAGATTTTCTTTTTGTAAAGGCTGAAATGCTTTAAAATATAAGTATAGAACTTATTAATAATATATAGACTAATAATATAATCAATTTATAAAATTAATTATATATAAAATAAGTAATAAATAAATTTATTGTGCTAAAAAATATAAGTTTTTTAATTTTGTTACAAGCCTACAACTAATTAAAACAAATAATTTGTAGATTATACAAATTTATAAAAAGTTAGTTATGTATATAAATATTAAATAAAAAAAGTACACTTTAACTGCTACCTCTTTTTTTAAACTATTTCTAAACAATAGAAAGAAGGCTACATTTTTCTTATCTTTAAAAAAACATTTTTGATAGCAATCTTTCCAACACCAGTCCTATTAGCTTGATCAATCATATCAAAAATCTATTTACCAAGCTTCTTACCAACTATTTTAATCTTACCTTTTTCTAACACAATATAATATTTTGTCACTCTTCAACTTTTTTGCACTTCTTGGCAATTTGACTTTCATCCTTATTCATATTCTTAACAATATTATTGAGAACACCAACTGTAATTCTAACTAACTTTGGCTTTTTTTTCAAGATATAAGCAATATTTATGATCTTGTTAATTTTGAACTCTTTCAAAAATTACTATACTATATTCAAATACTCTAGCACTTATTAATATTTTAACTAATCTACTATTCAACTGTACTAATCATGTTATTACTAACCTTGGGCTTACCAATTTTTACTCTGTTAAAAATAGTATTAATTAAAGAGAAATAATTATACCTTTCTTTTAGAGAATCTACTATGACTCTTTTATTTCATATAACTTTTCATATTTTTCAAATTATACACTCTTCACTTTCTGGCAAACTAGCCTTATTAATCTTTTCTTCAACCATTTTAGCACTTTTATATTTGTTCTTGCTTATATAGATAACACTTTATAGATTGCTTAATCTAAATTACAACTAGAAAGAATTATTAATATTGCTTTCTCTTTCTATTTAATGGCTAATATTCCAGTTAATCCTATTAAATCTATATTTATTACTAAACAAAGCTTTGCTAATATTATATTTCTTAACTTTACTTTTTTCTATTCCACCCTAGCAACTCTTTAAATTCTTGGGCTACTGGTTTACTCTTAACAACAAACTTTATAAATCAAACTTATTAAAAATAAAGCTATTTAACTTGCTAATATTGCTAGTCTAAAAATATAACTAACAAACAAATAATCTATATTATTAATACTGTTATTATACCAACTATCAAATATTAACTTTACAATATTATAGTTTCTTTATTTAAATACAACAAGATTTACAAAAAATATCTTACTATAGCTAAACATAAAGTATATCTTTCTTGCTATACTTTTAACAATACTATTTTTAACTACAATCTCTACAATATTTACAATATTTAAAATATTCAACTTAGTATCATATTAGTAACTTCTTAAACCATATTAACAATTTTCTTCTCTTGGTAATACTATTCATATTTGTCTTTAATAACTAATTTTTGGTTTACTACTAATATCCTTCAATACTTCTTAATAGCCTCAACAAGCATTCTACTATATTTAAAATTATACAACTTCTTAACCACCTCTAGACTTCTATATATGTATTTTCCAATTCATCTTGGTACAAAATTATAAATAATAGTAATATATCTCATGAAAATATTTTGTCAAATTGCTCTAAATACAACACCTTCAAACAACAACTTCAGTACAAAAATATTTTATATCTTGAGCAACTTTGCTTATCTAACAACAATACTCTACTAGACTAGTTATATCTATTTTCTAGACTTTACATATCTCAACAAACAAAAAACAACTCCGGTTTATTTATTTAGAAGATATTATTCTTGAGAAAAACTATCACTGCACTATTTTATCTTATCTTTAACCTACAGGTATTAATCAATTTGCCTATAAAACTAATTTTCTTTCCAAATCTCACAAACTCCAAGTTTTAACTTTTTACAATAAAGATATTATTATTGGTCAAATTCACAAAACTTTTACTTCTGCTAATACTATATCTATAACATATTGGCAATATAATATTAATATTTTTACTTATTACTACTATCTCTTATTCTCT